AGAGAAAATATAGGAAAAATTGCTTCAGATGTTATCTGACTTCAAAGGAATATAGATTCTGACCATCATAAACTACCAGATACCAAACTGCTTAAATTATTTTTTTTAAATGTAGCATTCCAACCAAGGACCTCAAAGTAACTGGGATGAAATTGGAATTCAGGTCATCTCATCTCCTGCATTAGCGTCATGTTTCTTGCTTTGCAGATTAGGAGTGCCTGGAAGATTTATGCAAGTTTTCAGTAGAAGTGTACATGACATGCACTCACCTACTCTCTGCCTTAAGGCCATCCCTGACACTAAGGTTGGAAAGGAGCTTATGTGGGTGACAAGTTGAAAGAGCACTTGACACAAGAGAATAGTTGTGGGTTTTCGTGAGGCTACCCGAGTGAGGAAAGTTAACCTGTGTTCAGAGGACCAATGCTATGCTCATAACAATAGATTTGTTCTCCCTAATCACTGCAGATCTATTTTCTTATGCTTCAGAATTATTACCTGAGTCTTAATGACCATTAAAGGCATAATGCATTAACAGATATCTACATTTTTAATATCCAGTCAGAAATATTAACCTACTTCCAACAGCAGTAAAAACCAGCAGTGATATCTTCAACAAATCATTTGAGAATATTTAACGAGCTGTTGTTCTATATTTTGCATTGTTTTTCTGAATACCAGGGAGGCAAATTTTAAGTATGGAAAAGATAAATGAAAATAGAAGGATCAAATTAGAGAATTGACAATAAAAAAGCTTTAAAATTTTTTATTATTATTTAACATTATTTAAAAATATGTACTCAGTTATACTTTTAATTTATACAGGTGTGCTCTAAGTGTCATGTCAGGCTACTTTCATTATCTACCTTCTGCTTAAACATGAACATAATTAGTCCGTGTATTACTGTTATTTCTGTACATCATATCCTAGTTATGTGGTGCAATTTCTGCCCAGCAATCTAGTTTTTGAGAGCTGAAGAGATAGCTCAGAAGTTACAGATTTCAGTCCTAAAATATCTGTTGTATTTGTAAAACTTTCGTACTTTTAAAATGTAAAGGAAGTAGAAAATGATTCACATGTCTTAATGTGGAATGTAACAGCTGATTGTTTGGTCCTGTAGATAGTGTTTTATATAATTATTTGCCAACAGGGAACAGTAAATTATAGGAAAGTGGGATTTTCTTACATTAGAGTTATTGTGTTCCTTACTATTTTAGGAGCTGACCAGATGCAGCGTAGAGCAAAAAACCCACTGAATTTCATAGAGATTGCTAACTCAATTTATTTGAGTGATGATACAGTGGGGTGAGTGACAGAGGATTAACTGAGGAACACTTTTTTATCAGTCAGGTTACATTATTAAAATGAGTTTAGTAATCTTTACTCTGAGAGCTCTACATTTTCAGAAATCTTGATTATTTTTATCTATGAACGGAAGCAATTGAGGAGGGTCTTACTTGCATTTCTGGAGCAAATTTCATAACTAAATATGCCTATATTAGCAAATATTCCTGACTCTCTGTAATTTTAAATTTTTACAGGGGTATGTTTTTATTCTTGAATCTAGTGTGGTTCGAAATTGAGGATATCTGAATGGAATTTTTTACACTTCTACTGTATATAGCCAGTAACAGATAGGAATTCTTACGGGATGGAGGCTGCACGTTCTAGTGTGGAATATGACTGCATGATATTATTCTGTGTAGTATATACCAGGCTTGTTACAGAGCACATCATTGTTTGGGTCCTTTAACTATTACGTTGTTCAATTGCCTCCTGACTGGATAATAATGAAATATGGAGTAGCTGTGGGTTTGGTTTTTTTTTTTTTTTAATTTTCTCTTTTTTGAGTTCTTGAACTGTTTAAGATATTCAGGTGAGCGCTTCACATTGATCATTTTGCCTTCATAGTGAAGAAATGTCTTTTCCATATTGGATTTTTTTGTTGCTGGTTGGTTTGGAGTTTTTTGGCATTTTGGAGTTTTTAGGTTTCTTTAGCAATGCATGTGTCTATTTAGGTCAAGTCAAGAGTATTTTGATTTCTTGTGCATATGTACACTCATACATGCATGTATTGCACTGTAATGGCTAAACACTTTCTGTGCAGAAGCTTTGCATGAGCAATATGCTTGTATAAGTGTAATTAAAGAAGGTTTTAGTTTGGATCTCCAAGTGTTCACATATTCTCATATATTTCTAAATTAATCAAAGCATTTGGTCTATGCTAATGTGTATTGATGCTTAGCACAGACAGTTGTAGCAACATTCTCTTTTGCATCTAAACTTTCCTGAGTGGTATCTTCATCCAATTAGCAAAACAAAACCCCGCAGATAAAACTTATTTCTCCTGGCTGAGACGGAAGCAGAGCTGTCAGGTGAGAAGGGGCTGACCTGCAAAAGCTCCTCAGGCTTTTAAGTGAGCTGGAATGTTTTAAAAGATTGTTGAGCATGGTCATTGAAATTCCTTTACTCAGGTAAGGTGAGTGTAGGATTAATGAAATTAATGTTAGCAGGTTGGAATTTGGCAACAAGGAGTGGATGCATAAAATATTTAATAATGTACATATAAGAAAGAGTCTCCTCTGGGGATTTGAACTAACTTGGCATGTTGATGAAATACCTGGTTTTATAGAGGTTGTGTAGACCAGCATTTAAGAACTTACTTTCTTTTTCAGTATTTTCCAAAGAGTTTCATGTTTGCATGTCTCCTGCATTTTGTAGGTGCTAACTCATTTGTTTTCTGAAAAACACCCCTTTTGGAAGGTACTTTTCAATGTGAATATAATGGTTTTTATCTACTGCTGGTAATTAACATCAATCTGCACTATGTTGTAACTTGTTATGAGTTTGGTAATCACTTACAATGTTTGCCCCTTACTAGATGACGGTTAAAACTGGACAGTGAACTACCAAAACACAGAACTGCTAGAATGAACCTGAATGAATCTGTAATAAAACTTTCTGAGCAAGAGAGGAAGAATCATGTAGTTTTATGAGCGTGTGATGACATGAGTTGTTCAAAGCTAGTGGAGAACACAGATGACACTCTGTATACATGGCTCATTTGCAGTGGGTGTGAGATGGTTCATTGATTGTAAGATAATATAAATGTTTATCTAAGTAGTGCACAGTAAACTCTGTGGGTGGAATGGTGTTATACTTAGATGAGGTAAATCCCTTTGGGAGCGCTTCAATGGTACCACTTTGTTGTCTCAGTCTGATACAGACGTGTCTTTTTGGGTATATGTGTTTATATACAAATAACAAAATTCAGTAGGTGAATTGCCTGTTAACTGCTTTAAGACTGAACTGCTTCTTGTTATCAGTAGGATATATACATGTGTATGTAACATAAATGTATGGAAATATGTGTATTGGACTGCCTTAAAACCCACGTAAAGAAACAGAGATGCAGAGAAGTAAACAGGTTTTCAAGGACCCAAGATGTTGGCAGAGATAAGAATATGTGTCTTGGCTCCATCCCTTTAACATTAAAATCATCTTTTCCTTGATGAAAACTCGATCACAGGAGTGTTACCGTTAATTTGATTACAGAAAGATATTAAAGCATTTTTTCTGTCCCCAGTACCCAGCCACCCCTTTTCGGAAGTTAACCTGTAGTGTTGGCTTCATTGTCTGAAGAGGGTTTTTCAGCATCTACTTCATGAAAGACCATCATTTGAAACAGTGGTACACTGTTATCGTTCTCAAGTTTATTTGAGACTGATGTGCAAGACAAAGAAAAACATGTCAGCTGGAGGAAATGCTCTGTAACAGGTGGACAAAACGTTATGGCTAACTTCACACAATACAGATGCCTTTTGAACTGATTTCTAAAAGTAATACTTGCCCCCATCAGCATACATTTCTGTGTGCCATGCTTATCCTAGTAAAAAAAAAAAGAAGATGCATCAAACTTATGCCAACTTGTGTCTTCCTACCACTGTGAGAGTTGATGCCTTTCACAAGTCGTGGGAATTGTTGTCAAAATAGAGTAGCTGAAGAGATCTGCTACCTGCTGTGAAATTGGGCACTCTCTTGCCAAAATTGTACGCTTCCCTAACTTCCAGGGCACGGTGGAAAGGGATGGCATCTGCCCAGCTAACAGTTCTCCAGCCTTTACTGGTACAACTGAGCTGTGTCGGTGAGAGCTGAATTCACACATACATTCATACCAATAACAATTTAAAATGCCTGCAGTCACAGTGTACCTTTGTTTTCTAGGCAAAATATCCTGTATTTTATATGTACTATATAGCAATACTAAGATTTATTATGTTTTTATGGAACACAAATGCACTTAAGAGATTTAAAACAGGGTGACTTATGCATGCAAGTCAGACAAGAGTTGTAATGTTGTGAGGGTGAACAGGTTTCTGTCTAAAGGACCTTGGCACTTTGCCATGAAGCTCGAGGCAGAGTAAGATAATTGGCAGGTTTTCTTCTTACAAAAATAAAATGTATTTTTACTATCTTGCTCTCCTTCATTACTCAAAATGTACTGTGCAATCAGAAGGAAATTTGCAGCTGATTAGTGAGTTTTATCATTGAAACTGAAAGGGAAAGAGATAAGGAAGGGCCGGGAGCTGCTTCTCTGAATTCCATTTCCTCTACAGGGAGTCACTGGCCCGTGGAGCAGAAGGTAGCTTGTGGTGGGAGCAGAAGAGTGCAAAATATGATAACTCAGGATGTTTCCTTAATTAGAAGTGTCCTTACAAAGTCACTGTGCTGCATGTATTTAGACCAAGGGAAAATTTCAAAGACAGATGAAAGGATACCACAAAAATCCTGATGAGTTTAGCTTACATACTGAGACTGACCTCAATGCACGTGGGAGCTATGGAGAGCACCGTGGACAGTGAAGTATATGATCTGAATGTAGTAGTTTGCAGTGTGTGGTTTGGGAAGCAGTTAAATTTGTATGAGTAAAACTCACACTGTCAAACCACTGCACTCTGTGTGTATGTTCCAGTTGCCTCTAGTGTAGCAGTCTGGTTTGCCATCTGAAAACTTGAACTCAGTCTTATTCACTCTAGTTAAAAAAAAACCCCACACAAAACCCCAAAAACCTACAAAAATTCTTATGGTCACTTTTGATTAATTTTTCTATTTGCTTGCTGTTTTAGACTAAAGAAAAGCAACCAAAAAATCCCCTTGAAATGTAAACCAATTATTTGCTACATGCTTCATTTTAAAACAATGGAGTGTAACTGAAGTGCTCACTTCTTGGGAATGTGAACCTTTGCTTCTGAGTACTTCTGGATGCGTATAGATTGTTGGAAAGGGATATGACACCAGAGGTACAACTGAGAGTGCTGGGGTGAGAAGTCAGAGCTCCCTGTTGTGAGCGCTGGCAATGCATGTGATGTGTTGGAAGCAGTTGGGATATCATACGTAGTAAAAATCTTCTCCCTGACAAAGGGTTTCTAATTTATAGCAGAGCACTGTCCCGTTATTGGGACTTGTTCCCGACTTCGAGAAGTCGACTTGACAGGCTCGTTGCACACAGAGGGATTCTCTATGATTGTGGCCAGCTGGATGCCACCTGGATGCTTTTCTTCAGTGTCCTGCATCTGTTGTCTCTGTCTGCTGAACTCCTCTGAGGTGTAAGCCACGCTTTTGGTCCATGCCTCCTCGTGGTCTTGTTTGGAGGTCCTGTTTTGTTCTTGCAAGCGCTCGTGTCTCCTGCGGCACAGGAGATGCAGGCAGCCGTAGAGGAGGATTGCAGCAATGATGAGGAGCAGGATGCTGCTGGTGAGCCAGATGCCCAGTGCCAGCTCTTTCTTGGTGTTGCTCGCAGATGCCGGGTCTCGTTCCAGTGTGTTAAACACTCTGCACTGGTCACTGGAGGGGTTTGCGGACTGGCAGGTCACGCACATGATGTACGTGGTTAGTGGAGTTAGGTTTTCAACAACAAAGGAGGAGCGACTGGTGGGCACCCTCTCTTCCTTCTGAAAGCTTTTTCTCGAGTAACTGGATAGCATGTTGTTCCAGTTAGGGTGGTACATGATGCTGTAAAAGCTGTCAACACAACCGGCCATTTTTGGCCAAATTACCACTGCCGTGTTTCCTGTGATGTTTTGGATGGTTATTCCCATCAGTATGTTGCTTGTGTGTTTTTTTTTCTCTCTTGATGCTGATCTCTCTGTGGAAAGGGAAGACCTTCTTTGGAGGTAACTGAGAATCTGTGGCACTGAGGATGTTGTGTGGATCTTAATCGTAGTGCTCTGTAATTTAGGAATGGAGTTTATTAGGAAAGTATGCTCTCATCTTTGGTACTGCAATGTAAAACTGTGAGATTAAAGTTCATAGAGTTTGGGGTATTTTAAAATGTGTATTTCTCTTCCAAGTGAAAGGATAAACATAAACTTAGAGAAATTCAATCAGAGTTGCTGCCTGTACAAGGGACCAGTTTTACCTTTTCTCCATGAGAGGGTGAATTTTTGCAGAATTTGCAATCAGGGAATAACTTCCTTTTACATTTTTTTTTCCCAGGTGATAATGGAAAAATGCAGCAGTTGTTTTTTCTCTAGTCTGAGTATCTTGCATTTTATGTTAAGTGGAAAAAGAGTGTTGGCAGGAGTGGATATTGAGGGATAAATGCCTCTACCATCCACAAGTCTTCATTTTTGCCAGTCACATTCAATTGAAGAACAAAATAGTATTTGGAAACATCACCAGATATTATTTTGTCTCCAGTATTTTACATTAGTTTCTTATTCACGAATATGAATATGAGCACCTCTCCTATAAAGACCATGTGAGAGAGTTGGTACTGTTCAGCCTGGAGAGGAGAAGGCTCCAGGGAGACCTTACAGCACTTTCCAGTACCTAAGGGGGGCTGACAGAACAGCTGGAGAGAGACTTTTTACATGGGCAGATAGTGTTATGACAAGGAGAAATGACTTTAAGCTGAAAGAAGATAGATTTAAATTAGATATTAAGAAGAAATTCTTTACTGTGAGGGCAGTAAGGCACTGAAACAGGTTGTCCAGAGAAACTGTGGAAGGTGTCTATGCCCATCACAGGGGTGTTAGAACTAGATGATCTTTAAGGTCCATTCCAGCCCAAACCATTCTGTGGTTCTGTGATACACTCCATTTTTTGCTGGTGGATTAGCACATCTGTAGCTACTGCGGCTCCACTGCGGCAGTGGCTGTGACGACTGTACACTGGTGGTATCAGTATCACAATATCTAGTCTTGATGCTAGTCAGCCTCTTGGAAAAGCTTTCTCAAGTTAAGCTTAGTGAAATACAGCTTTCACTGTAGCATACCTCTTGGAAAAGTAGTGGGTTTTTTTTTTAAATTACTAATAGTCTTTTCTGTTCTAAATGATTTCATGTAATCCCATAGTCTGTCTGCCCTGAACTTCTCCTCCTCATAATAAAATTCAAAATAGAAACCCTGCCAGTATTTTGAGATTCTCAGTATATGTTACCACTGTAAATAGTGAAAGGAAAGCATCTATTTTGTGCAATTTTCTAAACACATCTATGAAAGAATATATAATAACAGCCAGTGGGTATTTTCATTTGGTTTTGCTTTTACTGTTGTGGGTGTAACTTTTGAAAAAGAGCTTATCTCTTCGTTTAATTGTCTGTTTCCAGTGGCACTCATGTGAAAGTTTTTCTTCCACTTGGAAAGTTTCTTACTTTTTTAATGAAGATAAATGACCATGACAATAACACCGTATTTAATTGTTTATGACTTAATTATAAAAATGAATTTGTTATGATCAGATTTAAAATGTTACATCTCCTGGCTAAATAGCAATTAAGTATTGAAAATTCTCTGAGGAAGAAATCTTGTAAGATTTGCTCATAACATGTTCTGAAATTATTCTGTAATACTTATATTTTATACTATATAGAAGACTGGAAAAGTATATATTATTTTAGTGGGATTTTGATAGTGACATTACATTAATAGTAAGAATTCTATGCCTATTTATGTATGAAAATTGTTGCTCAAGGCTTTTGGATTATACTTATTGGGAAGTGAGAAGAAAAATATGTATGTTTATTTTCATTATGATGTAAAGCCATGGATATGAATGATCTGAGTAGATGCCACTGTTCTAATTATGTGGTAAGTGCACCCTTTTAATACAGAAACAATATAAAGGAACTGAGTTTGCTATCAAATAAACTTATCAGACAGACACATTTTGGCATCTACCCAGCTACTGCAGATACTGAAATTGGGTGCATTAGTAAGATCAGAGCTTTTACTTTCTCGACTGTCTTCTCTTTAGCTGGTATATCCCTAGCACTTAAAATTATAATTTTTTTTTTTAGAACACTTCCTAACACAACCTAGAAACAATAGTTTCACCAATTTAATCCTCACAGCATTTTGTAAGTAGAATGTTTGAACTGTAATTAAAAAACAATGATACGTTTCTAACATTACAAAACATCAGTTATTAGAAGACACATAGTTACTGACATGTAAATGTTTGGAAAAACCATTTGATGTTTTATGGATTGTAAAGTCAGTACTTACCGTCACTTCCTGATGGAAATTTCAGAACAGAATTTTCATATGATGCTGCTGCTGTGAAAATGATTTAGATACCAAGTTTTCTGTATCCCTTTCCACATGAATTATTTCCTGACTGATCCCCTGTTTGCCAGTTTGCTTTTTCTTCCCCTCAGATTCCCTGGATTGAATTCTCATTGCTTGGTGATTTCAGTTTTTTTCTCCGATGCTGCTAGTGGCATGGTTTCTTTGTCTCTTCCACTTAAATTCATGCAAGAGCACATCTTGTCTAAAGATGCTGTTGCCTGGCTTTTCAAAGACTATACAGGAGAAAAAAAATAATGTCTTTTCCCCCCCCTCTTGCTTGCCTCTCCTTGGACAGTGTTCTGCTTGAGCATCCCTGTTATATGCTCTTGTGCGTGGACCAGTGATGCTGTGAGTGATTAATGTTAGCACTTAGATGACATCAGCAACTAACAACTCTTTTTTTTTTTTTTAATTTAAGTAGGGGAGGGAGCAAGTATAGATTAAAAAATAATGAACAACAACTTGTCTTCCCTCCCTCTCCACCCCCACTCCCCTTTTGTTAGTGGCTTCTTCTCTGAGGATTTTATGCTTTTGTGCATCATGGGGGGGAAGTGGTGGTGGTGTGCAATGGTGTTTTCTAAATCCCTTCTCACAGTTCATAAAGCTTCAATAATCCAGCATTTACAGTGGACCATTTTAGGTACTGTCCTATGAGGTTTACATTAAAGAAAGATGTATTTTTAGATTGGCTGGCTTCTTATTGTGAAGTTTTTTAAATACTGAAATCATGGGTTTAGGGCTTGCTTGTCTATGACAAATTTTTGCTGTCTGAAGAGAAGTTCCCTCCCCTTAACCTCACAGCAGTAAAAGACTTTAACCTACTGAAGTAAAATTCTCCTTGTGCTATAGTCAAAATAGATAGTTTGGACGTGTTTGTTGTGGAGACCTACCTGATTGGAAACATCAAAAGCAAAAGGGGAAATCTCATCTTTTAGGGGCAGTTGTGTAAATGCTTAGTGTACCAGGACGTTGATCTGCACATCTGTTCTTAAAGTTTTCCCAGTTCTCTCCACCGTCTTTGCCCCGGAGCCCTTTTCCATTTGCGGAAAGCTCTGGAAATGCACAGGTTGCACTAGAGGGATGCTGCTTTAGACTGTCCCCCTGGTGGGACATGTTTGGAGTTTGGCCTTTTAGCCAGCTCTGATGTAATAGCAGGACTCTGCTATGTATTAGGATTCTAATACTTATTCAAGTGTCTGTTTTAGTTTGCATCTAGAATGCAATTTTTAAATTTCTAAGACCACAGTTGGAAACTAGTGTTTATATAGAGATTTATAACAAAAATAAAAATATGCATTTTCGATCCTGATTGCTTCTAAAGATGGTTTTTAAGTCTTTTTCTGTTATGAGACTAAAATCCTTCAGGAGCTTGGTAGAATTTCATTACTTGAATTCCAGTATCTGGTGTTGACTTGCATAGGTAATTAGGGCAGGATCTGTATTGAAGGGAATGTTCTCCCTGGAAAATTTTCTGTAACAGCTGTGTGTGAAGTTAAAAGTCTAATAGTATGCTGTTTTCCATGTATGTATTAGAGAGAATGAAACTGCAGAAAATAAAAGGAAACATGACAGTGCCTTCTGTAAGAAAGGAGAAAGAAAGAGCAGAATTCCCTCTTAAAATTGAATTTCAGGATATTAGGAGAACAACTCAGTTGCAGAAATGGAAGATGTCAAGTTATCTGATCTGTGGCTTCAGCAAACAGTTCTTAAATCCCCATACAGCACCAGTCTGTACAGTTGTGTTCACTTTCATAGAAATAAATGATAATATGGCAAAGCACCTTGTCCTATTTATACAGCTCTTGAAGAATTTCCATGAGGTTACATCCCAAACTTAGATTTGCTTTGATCTTGTGTACAGCTAAGGGGTTTGAAGAAGAAAGATCCTTATTAATTAGTTGCAGAGAGCAGTAACTGCAGAAGGCTTTTTCTTGGAGGTGAGTACTCAGTGACTTAAAACAGAAAATTGAAGTGACTTCTTTCAAGATGTTTTGTGCATAAAATGGATGATATAGGAATAAAAGCTGTACTTTAAATTCAGGGATCTGAACGTTGACTTTGACTACTCTTAAACCTTTTATACTCATGTAAATAAAAAAATACAAAAGAGGAGATGTTCGTGGCTTTATAAATGGTAAATGGAAGATATCTGGTGGGAAAAAAAAGTGTTTACAACTTTGTCTTGCTAATACAGAGATTTTGGTTGAAGTTCCTGCCTTATAAAAGGGAAACTCTGTAATTAAACTTTCCAGAGTGACAGTGGGATACAATGTTATTTTAGTTTTATTATGCTTTAAAACACTGTTTAAATTATATTAGTATAAAGATACAAGCAGACAAAGTTTCCATTAATCATATGTGTTCTCTCATTTTAGGCATTGAATCTGGCATATTCCAGCATCTACAGCAACTACAGGAATTTTGTTGGCCCCCCTCACTTTAAAGTCATCTGTAGACTTCTTGGATATCAGGGCATTGCTGTGGTGATGGAGGAATTGCTGAAAGTTGTCAAGAGCCTGGTATGCTAATTGTCTTTAATTTTCTGCTATTCCAAAGGGTTTCTGGTAGGAAATGTCTCAGGGAAAACAAAGTGAAAATAAGATCTTGGATAAAAATAATTAAAATAACTTCCATTGAGGTTCAATATAAACTGGACTTGACAGTCTTGTGCAAGCAATAGATATACCTTGGTACCCTGAGCAGTGTTTTGAAAACCTGAGATTCTTCATTAGACATTAATTTAATTTGTGGAGACCTATGATGTTAGGGCCTAAGTGGACTCTGGAAAAGTGTGAATGTTTCAAATTAGTTGATTTCAACTTAAAGACCATACTGTAAATTTTCTTTCTTGATATGTTTTTGACAACAGCTGGAGTGTGCTTTCTGCCTTGAGCCTAACTTCAGGGCTGTCACTAAGGACATCATTAGTAGATGACTCCTTAATAACAAGCCAGGTTTGATCTTCATGTTTGATCTAGCAGTGGTGCTTGGACCAGATGTTGAAGATGTTACCCATACAGCCTGGGTACCCTGTATTGGAAAGGACCTTTTCTGTAACTAGGAGGAGGTTGAGGGACTGACTGTTTGCTATATTATTAGTATCTATATATACAGCCATAATGTACTGCAGTTAATTTAAGCCAAAGAAATTGTCTTTTCTGCCCTGTCCCTGTTGCTTGTAAGAAGCTTCCTGCCAAAAAATCTGGCTGGGGAAAACTGTGGCATTCATAATCACACTTCAGGCACTTGACACATTTGGCAATTTGTTTACAGTAATTCCCAAAATGTTCTAATTACATTTTTGGTGTTCTAGAAAGGCTGTAGGATGCTTGAAGAAGTGCTGTAGTCAAATCTTCAAGGAAAGAGGAAATCACATATATTTTTTAGGGTTTGGGTGTTGAGTGTTGGTTTGTTGTGTTTTGTGGGGGATTTTTTTTTTAATAACGTAGTGGTAAATCTTCTCAATTCATTAAAGGTGGCATTGAACACTTAGTCATTTACTAAGAAAGTTAAAAGGCCTGGGGGAAGGTATCCTGCCAATGCGTGATGCAGATGCTCAGATGTGGGGAGATAGAAAAGAGATAGGTATCTAGTGGGAGGAAGACAGACTTGACTGTAGGCTGGGAACTCAACTGGTATGTCCAGAAGAGCCAGTTTGGGCAGTTACAGTCATATCTGATCATCAGCTTTTCTCTCTTGTTGCTTTTGAAAATATTCAAATGCTTTTTGAATAGTTTTGAAAGTATTCAAATGTAACCTTTTTACCAAAAACCTAAAAGTTAGTTGGACAGTAGAGACAGTGTGCAAGACAAGAGCATGTTTTCATCTTGCCTTTTTGAATATGATGACTGGTGGAATTAAATGCAAGATTTTTAAAACTGCTTTAATTCATGTGTAGTTTGAATGCAATTCCTTGTGAAGTTTCTTCGTTCAATAACACTGACATGTTTGCATACATTTGTTTTCTCTTAGTTACAAGGGACAATTCTTCAGTATGTCAAGACCCTAATGGAAGTGATGCCTAAGATCTGTAGGTTACCAAGACATGAGTACGGCTCTCCAGGTTAGTTCATGTTTGGTGTTATCACAGCAACCTTAATAAGATGATACTAACCACTGTCTTCTAGATCTTGTATATATCTGTCTTTCCCTTCCTCTTTTGTCTCCTGACAATCAGCAATTAGTCTGTGTTAGACTTTGGTGTTTTGTTTTATTTTGTTTATTCCCGCAACATGAATCATTGAATGCTGGGCTTTCTGAAATTACATAATAAAGTTTAAAGTCTTCTGTGCATAGGGCAGAAGGATGGCAATCTGTATATAGACAGTCTTAAGATATAATTGATCTTGAGCTGGGATGTTCACAATAGTTTGTATTTCTAGTCTTTCTCATAAGTGTGTTGAGCTTCTCCTCTGCAAGTTAGCCTCTCACATTTTTTCTTTTTAAATGTCTGATTTAGATAACCTTGATTCTCTGGAACAGCCTCTATTCCCTCTTCCTTTGCCCTTATCAAATGTCAGATAAAAGGAGTGATACTGCTGAGAGGCAAACTGGTCCTGCCAGAATAGTTATGTCTGAGGCTTGTGTGGGGTGCATCTTAGCTGCTCAACAGGAGGAGTGACAGTTGCAGGAGAAGAAATGGCTTTGAAAGCCACTTGCCACTATGGAGAAATAATTGGCTAATTAGTATTTATCACATTGTTCACTGAAATTTTGAATCTGCTTCCCCCCTTCAAAATATTCCTCCTCCACAACTTCTAATTAACACAAATTAGTCCTTCCATGTGCCACCCACCTCCTGAGTTTATTTTTCCAGAGTTGCTTAGTTTTATTAAATGCCACTCCAACTGGAATGAGGTTGGGTTTTTTCTGCTTCCCACAGTTTTCTTGACGTTCATTACCAATATTAAATGAAACTGAGGCCTTACTAAGTGTTTCCTTCCTATTTTTCTCCCTAGAGCATAGAAATGGATGAATCATGGTAGTTAGCAATATAAAAATAATGTATCTGAGGCTTTTATCAATTCATTAAAGTCTTACCTCAAAGAAACCTTTATCACACTGTCTTGCCAATTCTCCCTTTCCTCTCAAAGACACCAGACAGAAAAGACTTGTGGAAGCTCAGGGCCCCTCTATCCCTCTCTCACATCACGGGAGCATTGCATTCATTGTGCTCTCTGACACCTACCCATCATGGAGCTGTCTGTCCTTGGAACAGCTCTGACTCATAAAGCAAAATGTTCTCTGTGATGAGGATGTGCTGTAAATTTTAGCCCTCATCTGATATCTGGAGAGGAACTGCCAGATTGTAGAA